TGTACCCACCCGCCCTCCCCCACTACCAAAACCTTGCCATGCCAACCCAATGCAGTGTTTTTAACGAAATGCAGAGGAATCGAATCCATCAGTTGAAGGTTGAATGTCATTGTGTCTTAATTTCATGTCTTAAGACATGGGAAGAGGTTGTAGAAAAGAGAAAACTTTTGGCATTTATGTTTTTAAAACACTAGGTTGAAAACTCTCATGTCTGAGTTGTGAGGTTGTGTGAGCAATCACGCTAACTTTCTGGGTGTGGCAGTTAGTCAGAAGGAGGGTGTGACCCACAGAATGTATGGCAAGGAGAGCAAGTTTGACCATGGTGGAAAACTCAAACATTCGTGTCTGCATACCTGGGTTTTAGGACAGCTGAACCTGTGGCAAACCTGATGGAGCCTGTTTCAGAAACTGCAAGGTGTGGTTGTGGTTTGAGTGTTCTGTCAACTCTCACTCAGAAACTGAGTGAACTTGGGTTCACGTACTTGGAGATGTTGGTGATAGAGATGGTTCGTACTCATCCTGTATTACCAACACTGGATTGTGGTTATCTTGGGATGTTCACACCAGCAGTGTAGTGAGGAGTTCCATGGATATTCTCTTAGCCAGGGCTTTCAATGTAAAAAAGAGAAGAAACAAGCCCCCTACTCTTCAGTATGCTGGAAATAGTCTCTGTATTTTAACTTGAAAATTAATCAGCTCTCGTGCTTTAGCTAGCTGGTCCCTGAGATACACCTGAAGGCAAGCCCTTGTCAGTGAGGACTCCCTTGGTGTCCATGTCCTTCAGTCACGCTGTGAAGGGCTCTATTGCTATATTCACTTTTTTTCTAAGAGGACAGAATGAGAAGGAAGAAGTCAGTTTTATTAATTGATTTCTAGTCTTGTGTTCTTTCAAAACTTAAGGACTTGTCTCTAAATGTTTTAAATAGAGCTCTGTTAGTATCAAATGAGTTTGAAATTCAGGGATGAATATGGAATAGACTAAAAGTAATGTTGTATATCAAGGCTTTTGTACCTTGTTCATTAATGTGTTTATCATAATAAACATTTTTCCATCTTTCTGCTTTTCATACAAAGTAGAGAAAAGAGAGATAAGTATGCAGCTATATTTTATTGCATTATTTAGTTATTCATTTTAGATTTAGTTTCTAGATTTGTCACTACCGTCATTCAGCTGCCTTCAGTGAAGATGTGTTGCCAGAGTTTGCCCCATCACCTCTGCAAGACTCTCGCCGTTGAATCTTAGCTCAACAGCTAATTTGCAGTATCCATTCAGCTGTCACATTCCATTTTACTCTTGAATCCAAAGATAATGAAGACTGTATTTTCCCAGTCTAGACCATAGATGGTATCCTGTTAATTCCACTTATTTCCTTACTCATTATTAGTGAGAGCGCTTTCCATAAGAAGCTGTGCTGGGTTCTGGTTGTTCTGGATCACAGTGGGAGTTTGGTGGGTCTCTCCCAGTTAGATCAATACAGTTGTGCTAGATTTTGTTTCCCTCTTTGTACTTGCTGACACCACATGAAGTCGTTTTTTGATTCTTGGGTGCTTGCTTTGTGGCTTTGGCATGCTTTTGGGCAATCTCTGACATGATTAAGATTTTATTAATTTGTATTTTCTGCATTCTCTCAGCATGTGAGTGCATTTGCTGCTTCGGTGCCAGTGCTTCATTAGCTTCATTAGGAGCTTTGAGTGTAGTTCATTGGTTCCTACTTCTGTGATTCCATTATTAATTTCTTAATTTTTAAGCTTGATTCTTGTATCATACATTTTCTAGTCCCAGAACACTTTCATGATGTGTACTGTTAAGAAGTTTCTGGGTTGAAACTGAAGTACTATTTTTAATCATTAAAGATATAAATGGTTTGAGACCCAGTTAGTTGAGGGAGCAAGTTGAGTGCACTGGAATTGTTAGACCTCTGCTGCTATAAATGGGAGGAAGCAGTGGATAGACAGCTCTCTGTAAAGGCTTCTCAAATGGAAATTAATTTATTTTCTTGTTCTAGCATATCCCAGTTTGGCTAATATCTTAAGTGTAATGAAAGCTTCATCTCCATATTTGACTGTGGGTAGGTGAAAGTTCTGGATAGCTGTCTAGGTGTGATTTGATTCCCTAGAGCTTGAATTCTTAAGATTCTGTTAACTGGAAAATGGAGCTTGAATTATTATTAGTGTATTTATAATTTCAATGATTTATTGTAGCAGCTTTGTCACTACTTCATGGTAAAACATTTTGTATGTTAATGTATTTTCTGCAGTAGGTGTCCTAACTTAAGTGAGTATTTGGGCTTGACTGTCTTAAGTTTTAAACTTGCTTCTTACTTGCGAAGTTACTGTGTAGAGTAAATACGCAGACAGATGAGGCTCAACTGAAAATAATATCCTAAACAAAGAATAACCAGAAATCATTGCCCTTTGTTTCTGTTCTAGTTCCTTAGGCAACTGCACTGGTGTGATAACGTTCACGGTTAGCCTGCCCTTCCAGTTTTTGAAGCTATTGGCCAGTGTCTGTTCATTTGACAGTATGAGAGATCTCAAAGATACTCAGCTTTTATAAATTTTCTGGATATTGGTAACTCAGTAGCAGAGGGAGACCTGAAGTAGCAGGTTTGGTCTCCAGGTTAATTGCTAATGTTTTGTTTTACTTGACAGCTGACCACTTGGTGTGCGTATAAGCTCAGAAGTAACTACTTTGCTGTGTTGCCTTTGACCAATAAATGGACGGGCCAAATCAGGAGTAATACCTACTTTTGAGACTTGGGATGGAACTGGAGGAAATGCAGAGAAAGGTGGAGGTGGGAGACCTAGGAGGAGTTAGGATTTTCACACGGGAAGGGGTAGAGATGTAGTACAGAAGCCTATGCATTACTGATTTTACTGCTCACAAAATAGCTTTAATGTTAACTCTTATGAAACTTCATTATATGCTTGTTCCTTTTAGCTTCCTCTTCTCTGTCTCGCCTAGCCGGTTTAAAACTGGTTCTGTGGCTTACCTTGAAACTCTGCTTCTATCCTGCACAGGGCAGCTCTTGTACTTTCAGAAACCAGTTACTAAAATTGACTTAGCAATGATGTATTTCTGTAAGTCCACAAATAAGCTTGGGGCTGGTTAAAGCAAAAAGTACGTACACAAATGCTTACAGTGTTCAGAAATGAATATGTACACTCTTAACATTTTGTGAAGAGTTGGTATCTTGTAGTTGCAGATTGTCACGGAAAACAGCTGGGTGGCTGTGTGTGTGTTTTACAGGGCTGTGTGAAGGGCAGGTGTTTGTATTTAGGAATGGTGGTAATTCCCTCTGCTGCCACTTGGACTGAGTTTTAGATCCCAAATTCTGCTTCATATAATTTACAGCTTAAATTATTATTGTCTAGAATAGATATTATTTTGTGTTACATGGATGTATTTCCTGAAGAAGTGAAATAATGAGGAAGAAAAAAGTGTGGGTTTTGTTTTGTTTTTGCTAGGGTTAAATGAGTCCTAAAATTGAATCTTAATGTAGACCTCTTTCTTGTCCTGGATTTACCTTGACAGGCTGAAAATTACCAAACTACTTATAAAATGAGATGTGAACATGGGCTGGTTAGCATTTAATACTAGTTTTTAGTATTTAGTATTTTGTAATATTATCAAAAGTATTTATAGTATAAATATGATATCCTATACTATATTTATTAATTTATTAGTAGTATTATAGGTATTCAATATTAGTTAATATTTGTTAAAAATATATATTGGGGAACACAACACTAAGGCGTGATGCAGACGGCCTATTTCACTCACAGCTTTCTGTCCCTGCAGACAGGGGTCCTGTCATCACCTCCTTTTTTTTCTTGCATTATCTTTTATATTTGTCTGATCCCTCAGTGAAATGGTTCAGCTCACTGACCAGGGAGGATGCTGATTTAACAGAAGGAAAGTGAACTTTTGAGGCTTTAGTGAGCTGATTCGGTTTATGGGTTGGTCAGAGGAACGTCAGAAGAAGATCACAGGAGGTTGGAGTGGTGCTGTGTAACCAGGCAAGGGCACACACGGACCGCTTCCTGGGTTCACTGGTGCTGACCTGTCTTGTCAAGCTGCACCCATACGTTTGGTTTTCTTTCGGCTTTGTTCATTTGTAAATACTGTGGTGGGATAGTCTTCCTGTGTTAAAAAAAATTTTTTTTTGGTAAGTTTTCTTGAGTATGTGAGACATCATGATGTTGAATTATCTGGAATACAAATCAGATTGTTATTGTTAATAAGCCTGATGGGCAAACAGGACTTCTGTCATCATCTCCTTGCATATAAATAAAAATTATCTTTTGTTCTTAAATTAAGTGCTTACTGACAATTCGTGGACCTTAATATTTGGAAGTTGGTTACTCTGTTGCTGCAAGAGAGGATGTTTAGTGTTTTAATCAAGACTGTTTCCATGAGCTAGAATTTGTGGTTTATAGAATCTTGATTTTTTTTTTTTGTAGTTCACCTTAACAGAAGCAGATCCTCCAGAGTTTGCTGTCTGTCCACTGCTTACATACCAATCTGAAGTAATCCCTTGTGACTGTCTTTGAGTTTCTGTCTGCATTACCTCTGATAAGTGCAACAGGAAAAAAATCCCTCTCTTAGGTGCTTCTTAAAAGGTGTTAAGGCTATTAATCCACCGCAATTGTTACTGTGTATAATGCTGTTAATGAACACATTGGACAAAAAGTGCCATAGAAGTATGAAGTCCACTTTCAGTTACTCCTAGCTGTGTGTTTGACAGTCTAAAGAAGAGAATAAGATATTACAAAACTCGTAGAAGAAGGAAGAATGTAAACTGACTGTTTAAGCATTTTAAACACAAAGATGTCAGCAGAATAAATTCATGCTGTGTTTCTGAGTTATGTTAATTTTCCTCAGTCCTTTTTTTTCTTTATTGGAGTATTAATTCTCTTGCAGGTAGGGTGGGAGTAGCAGTATCATGTATGATATACAAAATACAGTGGGTTAGAGAAACAGAATCTTTGTTCAGAAATGAATGTAAAATATTATAGAAAACTTTAATATTAAAAAGTAAATATTTTCGTAGTTTCCAGCAATGTTTTCAGAAATAAATTTTTTTAATGTTTTACAGAAGCTGGTTACTTAGAGTTTGGAGGCTTCCCTTTTATGAAGCTTAAGTTTCCTCTTTGTAAAGATATATACAAATGAGCCAGTTAAGTATGGTCTGATGCTTTTTTCTTTTCAGAAAGATGAAGGTAGTGATGCTAGTTTGAGTGACAGCCACATATCTCCTCCCGCCAAACGTACCTCAAAACATGCTGATCCTGTGTGCAAAGACAAATCGAAATCACGCAGTACTGGGCAGCGAGAGGAATGGAGCATCTCAACTGGACAGTCCAGGTACCTTGGTGCCAAGAGAAAAATGAAGTCTCACCAATTTTTCCTGTATTGTTAACCTGCTTATGGTATTTCTGCAGTGAACTGCAGCTCACACTCGAGTATATTTTTGAAGTATGTTATTTTCATAGAATTTTATTTTAGTTTAAGACTCCAGGAACATTGGTTATATCAGTCCTTTCATCTCTGTGTTTCCTTTCTATGCAAATTTGTGCAAAAATGGAAAGTAATGTTGTTTGATGTGCAGTCTGGATTCTAGATTATTGATACATCCAAATTTAGTGACTTAATTGGTATTTTTATGTAATCAAGCTATAAGAAGATATGACATTTTAATTAGGAAATTAGTATTCTCACCTTCAGGGAATGGATAATGGTCAAGTTTCTTTCTTTCCATTGTTGTTTTCAGCCTCTCTTCCCTGATTCGTTATAAGGACTAAAGTCAATTACTGTATTTTATTAAATATAGCCTTAATCCTGCCACATTTTTATAACTCGAAAGAGAATTAATTTGTTTCATAACTCTGTTTAATATTTTACAAAAACATTCATGTGTTCATATGGTTTTCCACCTGATTACAGATAATCATGAGACAGTGTAGACAGTATGTTCCTGGGACATGAACTTTCAGTTCATACTCATTCCTTTGTAGATTTTTATTTCATAGTTATTTACAAATCAAAATCATTCTTGCAATGCTTTGTATGTAAGAATGAGTGTAATTCACTACTGGACTGTCATTTTCTTAGATGAATTGTATTTAAAAACTATGCAAATCTTAAAATAGTTTTTTTTTTTTTGTTTTCCCTTTTAAAACAGAATAAATATAACATATTATGTGCCATGATCATCTGGGAATGTATTGAAACTCCTGCAGCTTCTGTTTCTTTTGTTTATAATTGTAGACTTGTACTGTACCTATTAGAAATGCTAAGAGAGAGAAAAAACAATGTGTCTGGGAGAATTTAGATCACTGTGTCAAATTAAATTTGGCCAGGATACTGAAACTCATGTCGTTACTCATGTAGAAACCACTCTGACATGTCTTTGCATCTGAGGTTTGTTTTTTTTAGTGTTCTGCCAAAATCCAAAGTGCTGGGCCTAACAGTGATCTTGAGTCTCTTAAGGGTTTTCCCAAAAATGTTGTTGCTAAACATTTGTCATAATCAAATTTCACTTCTTCAGTTGTAGTTTCTAAAGTACTTAAAACATCTGACTAGAAAAATGTTACTGGAAATTTGGATGTGGAAATGATTTTTGTAAACGTGGTTTTCTGTGTTGCTACCCAATCCTTGCAAAAATCCTTCAGTTACTTTTGTTTTGTAAGGATTTGTTATGCATTTCTTAGGAAAATAATAGCAAAGCTTATATTTTTCATGCCTCTGAGTTGAACTCTTTGTAGTCTGTTGAACTTTTGGTCACATTCAAGCTCAGATTGCATTTGGTATTATTAAAATTTCCCCTCCTTTTTCTCTTTCCAGTCAAATTCGTTTTAGTTTTCTAGTTTGAGAACAAGGAGTTCCTCGCTGTGCAGTACTGGTGTGCAGTATATGGTTCACTTGCCTGTAAAGTACTTAGTATTTCTGAGGGTGGAAGAGAAGTAAACAAATATATTTTTTTTTCAGTTTGCCAGATTTATTTTGCTTTTTTGCATAGTGATGTTGACAAGTTACTTTTAACAGTCTGCCAATGGTTGTAGATTTTTTTTATTCATTTGTTCTCTACTCTTAGTAGAATCATGTCTAATAAATAAGAATATTTTCATTTTTTCAAAGATAAGAAGTGAATGAAAGACCACTTGCTCATGCCATAAAATTGCAGAAAACTCTGCAATGTGTTTTTGTCTTAGACTGTGAAGTCATTGGGGTTAATATTCCTAAAAGTTAATCTAAAAATAAATTCAAAATATCAGCTTGATACAGAACATGAAAATATTTTTACTGATTTTTAAATACACCCAGCATTTATTAATCCCATTCATTTGAGTTGGTAGTCTTGTTACATTTATTCTTTTTCTGTGAGTACAAAACCGCTTTTTGTCCAAAGTTTATCCAAAGTGTTTGAATTATAATTGCTTTTGAAGAGCTGTATCAAGATCCTCTTCTGAAACTTAAGGGGAGGGTTAATAGTAGGACATGGCATGAGGGAACATTGGAGGGATTAATAAAAGAGATGTTTAGATAAGTGGGGGGATTGGTATAGTTGGTATTTGGCAGTTTTGTCCTCATTCCAATGCTGGGCATGAAGCAGACTCTTCAGCGGCTGCGTGTCATAAAGATTCTGATGTCAGTGTATTGTGTAACATTTTATGTTTAAAGTTGTATTTTCACTGTGTAACTTTTGCTTGGCTAAGGAGTGTTAACATTATTTGTGTGTCTAATATAATTGTTTCCTAGGTTAACTTCTCAGCCTGGTGCTACACTATCAAATGGACGTAGTTTATGTAAGTGCATTACAGCAGACTTTTTAAATCTACTTTTACATTTAACAATTTTATGTCAATAATTTTCAGTTGCATATATTTTGAATAACTTTACTGATTACTCTGACCATTTTAAGCAGAAAAGTTACTGTTTTGGCTCAGTTTTCTTCTGTCAGCATCTTGGATACTCTGTGAACATGGGGAATATTCTTAGGTGAAATTCCATTTCTCTTCTCAATTCAGACCTCTTGGCCATGATCTTGATGTTTTCCTTAATTCCCAAATTTACTGTTATGAACTAATTTTGGCCTTCCTCTCCCAGCTGGTCTCTTTAATTTACTTACTCTCTTTCCTTATTTAAAATTTGGCCTTCTGTGGTTCTTAACATCACTTAACTTTACTATTGCTTTATAGAGACCTGCCTTGTCTGCAGCTCCTGCTACCTTCAGCGGTTTTCCTGTATGCTTGTACCTTACAAACTTGCCATCTTGTTGCATATCTCCAGATAAAACCACTTTGTCTTTCATGTCTCTTTCATCTTTTCTGTCTCGTTTAGTTCTGTGTTGACTCTATGTAAGCGTTAATCCATTAAGCATTTTTGGTATTTTTATTATTTATTGTGGTACCTAAGGAACAATCAGAAGTGGGATCCCTTTTTGTTTGTCACTGTACAGAATAGATGATATAGATTTGCTTGTGAAATCAGTGTGTTGTGTCTCACTTTCTGATGTTGTATTTGAAAGACGAAACTGTGGGCCAAGGGTCCATTTTAGTATTGATGTTAACTTAAAAATATTGAATGGATATTTGAATGCCAAATTTTAATCACAGAATAAGATTTTCATATAAGGAAACAAGCTTCAGTCTGAAGAAATAGCTTGTAAATCTAGTTTGATAGGAATTTGAAAAATACATTTATTTAGTGAATATAAGGGTGCTCATATGGTGCTCCGTAATAACTTTTGGTTTATTGTCCTTGTTAAGCATTCTCTTATTAATTCTTGTTTGTGAAACTGTTGTTCCTGCATTTTGAAGTAGTAATACAAATTTCTCTTAGCTCTCAAAAGCCATCCCCTTCGAGGGGAAAAAAAGGGAGATGGGGACCATGCTTGCATAAACGGAGATATAGAAGTCAGAAAAAGTTGTCGGTCCAGGAAAAACAGATTTGAAACTTTGAATCAGAGTTTATTGTTTGATCAGCTAGTAAACAGGTATGTGGGGATACTTCAGTTGTATTCACAAAGCCTCTTAATGATTAAAAAAAAAAAATAAATTGGAAAACCCTGTCTTCCAGTGCCGTCTATGTGTTTTACTTTGGGAATGTGTTAACGTTGAGGCAAGCTAGATTGTGGTTTGAATTACAGGCTGGGTCCTGTGCTGTAACCGCCGATGTTATCCATGCTCTAAATGCAAAGCAGCTTACCAGGCATTCATTGAGGAGTAAGCTACTTTGTGTTTACACCTGGATAAAACTATGTACATTGGCGGTTACTGCGGAGTGGCTGACATGCTGTAAATCCACACCCTAGTTTGTTTCTTAGCAACCTGTTTATGTAGTGATGCCCTAAATGTGATGTAAACGGATGGTTAGCAACAATGCTTGGAAGCTTTCTAGATTTTGCTTGTATGATTTTGATCGTAAAATATCAGAAGTTTGTAGCTTTTTTTTTGTTTTTGTTTTTGTTTTTTTACCATTTGTGAGTAAATCACATAGGGTGGGTGTCACTTTTTGACATTTACTGTGCAGACAAAGTAGGTCAGAGAGGGAGGCATGGTCTGGTCTGAGCATAGGAATGGGAGCCAGAAATCCAGAAATCCTTTTCTTGAAAAACTATTTCTCTGTGGCCCTGGGCAGGTCACTTAATATGTCTCAATTTTCCCACCTGTAAAATCAGTTTTAATAGCCATATATGTGAGATACTGCTTGCTCTAGTGCTTGGAAAATTATTTAAAAATAAACATTTAATTGCCAAGTATGACCTTTATTGTTAAATGTATTCTGTTGGATCTGTTATTAACTTACTTTTCTTTTTCAATTTACTCAGTAACTACTTGGTATGAGTTTACAAATTTATATTGAGTTACATTTATTTTTCTAGTTGCAGTTGAATCTCCCTCTCCTCATCAACAATAGGAAAAAGTCTACCATGAAGATTGTAATTTGATAAGATCATGGTACTGAAGTCTATATATGAACTATTCCTGATAACAGTGTGTCCCATAATCATTGGAGGTTTTTAAGAACAGGTTAGACAAACGTGTCAGGAATGGTTTAGGTATTGTGTAGTTTGTTCTTGCCTGGCAGAGCAGGTGGACTTTTCCAGGTCCCCTCCAACCCTGTTTTGTTTGGCGAACTATAGCATGATTTGACTTGAAGTGGTTATGTTGCACATCACAGATATTCTTCTTAGAAGAATTGTTTAAAATTGAGAGGGGTGCTCAGAATTAAAACTTGACTTTACTGACTTCGATCATCATTGACTTCTTTCTAGGAAGGATGTCACCCTTGAGTTTTACTTCTAAACAGCTTGAAAGAAAGGAAGTGACAGTGTCTGCCTTCATACAATTATTATACAACTATGGTAGAATTCCAGTGGAAATCTACCATAATTGCCATAGAGAGCAGTAAATGGGTTTTCAGGACAGGTGGCCAAATAATTGACTTGGCCTGGCTAATACTCTGTTGTTTTCTTCCTTAGCGATGAAGCTTCTTGGCCAAAGTTACTGTTTATGCACCATCATTGTTTTGGCAGCTGTTTACAAATACTTCAGATAATGAAAATACAGACTAATTAGATAGTAGATGAGAAATGGTAGAGTAGTGAGGTCAAATAATGAATGGTGAAATTCTATGTGTTATTGATTTAACATTTAAAAAATAAAAGTCCTTTATGTATTAGTGTCTTTCTGTGGCCAGAGTAAGAAGCTGTAAAGTTTGTGGGGTAGAGGCATTAATTGCTTTCCCAATATTATAATTATATGGGTAAAAAGCTTTACTTTCTTATTCTGCAAACTTAATCTTATCTGACACCTAATCTAACATCTAAGCAATTACAAATTTATGTGCTACAATTTACACTGAGCAAAAAAAATAAAATTAAATGTTTTTTAAAATGTTGCAGCCTGATTTGAACCCTAAATTTTAATAGTGTCAGCATTTCTTCTTTTTCATACTCTTTAGTTTATACTCTGTAGGTTCATCTTTTGGTTTTCTTTATTGTGGTTGGTTTTGTAGTTAATTGATAGATTCAAGTAGCCATCCTAAAATTTTCAAATTTTAATTTACTTGACTTGTAGACCTTGGAATAGCCATAACAGACCATAGAATTAGATATGTTAAGTTGTTGAATGCTGTGTAAAAATTTCTGCATGTCTCCTATTTTAATACTGAAATTTTTTTCTGTTAACTGTTGCATGTATTTTAGTACTGCTGAAGCTGTCCTACAGGAAATGGATAATATTAACATCAGGAGAAACAGGCGGTCTGGAGAAGTGGAACGGCTACGGATGTGGACAGATACAGAATTTGTAAGTGCAGAATGTCTCACATCTCGGATAAAAGTAGTATCAAGGGCGAGCTGTGTTTGTTTTTGCAGTCTCCATTCATTTGCGTGTAGCTTTGTCAAAGGATTTCAGATATTCTTCAGTGGATAACATCACAAAACTTGATAAACTCAGATTCAGAATTTAATTAATGGATATATACTGAATCATGTTTTCTTTGTTGATGAATTGACTGCCATGCTCTCATGGTGTACTGTGGTGCTTCTCCTTTGGTTTGAAGCACACTCTGGTAGTCTGAAAACAGGACCAGGGACCGTCATCTGCTTTGTTCCCTAAAGCAGCTTGATACTGATGTTAATTATGTATTGGATACTAATTATGTATAGGTACTATCCGAGAAACTTGTTTTGCCACCTATTAAACAAGACTGCTTTTGTAGTCTACCTATGGAGGGCTCTGTTGGAAAAAGACTTGGAGGCTAGAGATTGTGTGCAGTATTACTTATTGAACTGTGGGCTAACACTGAGAGTGACATGGGACAGTACTGATGGGAATGTATGTGAATTTCATTCCAGGAAAACATGGATATGTATTCTCGAGTGAAAAGAAGAAGGAAATCACTGAGGAGAAATAGCTATGGGATTCAGAACCACCATGAAGTGTCCACAGAAGGGGAAGAAGAAGGTATGGGTTAGCATACGGGTTAGCATTCACATCTTATGAATTGTGAGGGTTTCTCTGAAATACTAACAATAAAAAAAATCCTCTCCTCCACAGAAGAGAGCAATATATTGCACTACAGAAAGTAATTGGGTTTTGAATCTTGATTTGGAGTTTTTAAATAGACCCATTAACAACACTGTATACGCTAAAGGATTCCTCCTCCTTAGGAGGAGGATAAGTTTTAGGGATCTCTACATAGTTTTATTTAAACAAAAACAAGTTTATCTGAAAGTAGCAGAACAAAGCCTGGTTTCTAAATGCTTATATACTGTGTTCCCTTACTCCTGTTTTCTATAACAGTAAGTAATTGGAGCTTTTCTTATTTTCCCTGCAACAATCCTTTGACGGAAGCCAGGTTGTGATGTGTGTAGTCTACAACTATGCATGTTCTAACTGAGTCACTATTTCTCACATGCTGGGTAGCAGGTACCAGAAAGAATGTGTTTTCCGTTCAGTTCTGCATCCTTCTGTTAGAGAAGGTATTAATTAAAGTGTCTGTTCTCTAATTCTTTAAAAATTTGGGTGAAACTGGCCAGTGGGTTCCAAAAGTATTGAGAAAGAAAGGATTATGGCTAACTTTGATGGCATGATCAACAGCATGCTTGGCTTCCTTAATAAATTAGGCTCAAACTTCAGGGATCCACACAATGTTCAGTGTTGTGTGTCTTGATTTTGAACTGGAAACTACTAAGAGGTACGGTCTGTCCCAGTTAATAAGAATGCAGTCTTAACTCTGAGGTCCATGTGTGGAAATTCTGATCCTGTTAACAGATGGACCTAGGTGGTACCTTTATACAGTGTGTTTATTTGCTTTGTGTAAAAATGGCATTGTGAACTGTATAGTTGCACTTATTTTCATGCTGTGTCAAATACTTGATTTTCTGAGGCTCCTGTGGGAAAAGAGAAGAAAGGTGTTATTCTTAATTTGAAGGATAATTATTGAAGTAAAAAAAAAGTGAATAGAAGTGGTATTTGAAGTACTTTACAACTAAAACTAATTTGACTACATTTATTTTCCTTTCTGTGGCTTTTCCAGAACCTTCAGTGGGAAACTAGAAGGAAGTTTGACAATGTGCTGTAGATTTATCTGGATTCCCAGTGATTTGCTAATTTGTGTTAATTAATAAGAGGGGAATAATTCTCAGTGACCATTAAAATGTTAATTTTTAGGATTAAGATAGCTCTAGCATCAAGTAGAAGTGTTCTGAAAATATTTTTCTCCCTCAACAGAATCTCAGGAAGAAGATGGAGATATAGAAGTAGAAGAAGCTGAGGGAGAAGAAAATGATCGGCCATACAATCTCAGACAGAGAAAAACTGTTGAAAGATACCAGGCCCCTCCAATAGGTAAGGAACTAGACAGTGCTCATGCAGTTCTGCTCTACTGACCTCCAAGAATACCATGGGTGTGGGAAGGGAAAAGTTGGATGACCGTTTCTCATCCCTGGCAGAGTTCCCATGCAGCACTTTGTGACTTCCATCTTGCTTCTGTTTTCGTTCACCATGTGAATACAACTGCTGAGACACAATCTATCAATTTGTCAATGGTGGTGACATTGCTACTGCGTGCTGCCTCATTGAACTTCTCACGTACTGCCATGTGCTGGGCCCAGGGTTGGACATGAACAGGGTTTAGGTCAAGAAAGAGTTGACAGAAGCTGAATTCAGAAAGCGGTCTAGTAAATTAGCTAATTACATAGAAAAAAAAATAGTTACTGTTATGCCTGCTTCTCTTCTGGAGTGGTAAGCCTAATTCGTAACCATAGGTAGATTGCATAGCAGCAGTTACCCAGGTTTGCCAAGATGAGAAATTCAGAATAGTATAGTTCAGTTGGAAGGGACCTACAATGATTGTCTAGCCCAGCTGCCTGACCACTTCAGGGCTGACCCAAAGTCAAAGCATGTTGTTAAGGGCATTGTCTAAATGCCTCTTAAACACTGGCAGGCTTGGGGCATTGACCGCCTCTCTGGGAACCCTGTTCCAGTGTTTGACCACCCTCTTGGTAAAGAAATGCTTCCTAATGTCAAGTCTGAATTTGACCTGATGCAGCTTTGAACCATTCCCACACATTCTGTCACTGGATCCCAGGGAGAATTTCTCAACACCTCCTTCTCCACTTCCCCTCCTCAGGGAGCTGTAGAGAACAGTGAGGTTGTCCCTCAGCCTCCTTTTCTCCAAACTAGACAATCCCTTTGTCCTTAGCCATTCCTCACAGGGCATACCATTAGCTGGGAAGAGGTTTCTGTATGGAGTTTCATGTCCTGCGAATAAACTAAAAATGCTAGTGCCCTGGATGAATTATGCTCTGTGGCGTGATGGCTATAGCTGTGATGGTTTGAGGAGGCTGCGGGTGGAATTCCCATGACTGTATCAAGCCAAGTATGGTGATAGTAAAATGAAGCGTAAGAGGTTTGATTTCTCTCCACCCCCCAAGTTCTTTTCTTAATTTGACCTTTCGGAGAAACCAGTGATAACATTATTGGTAAAGCAATAATCTAGAACTTTTGCACTGCATTTAGATTAGTTTATTATGCTTTTGTAATTGATGTTATAAACCTGTAACTTCTCTTACTCAGTGCCAGCTCACCAGAAAAAGAGGGAAAATACACTGTTTGATATTCACAGATCTCCTGCAAGAAGAAGCCATATCAGGTAAATGTCAGTCTTTTGATATGTAGTTGCTTGCTTTCCTTCAGCACGTTTCTGTTAGCTTTTGATTTTCAAAACATTCTTGAGTGAATTGCAGAATTCATTCATGCATGTGCGTGGGTCTTGAATTGTATCTTAGGTTCAGATCCTGATGAGCATACAAAAATGACTTTTGTAGCACTTCATAATGCTGGTAGAAGCTTTGTGATAAACAGAATGGGAACAGGTGTGCTGCAAGTACTGGAATGAGAGTTGCTCATTGCACACTAGCTTTTTCTGTAAGGGTGTATATTTGGTGTTTAAGCAGCAGTTTAACAAATATCCCCTTTCTATTCTACAAAATTAAACAAATCAGGGTAGTGGGTTTTTTTTCTTCCAAGTCAAGTTTCATCCAATTAGTATTAACAATTTAATAAAATATTTGCTACGCATCATTTTTGACTCTTTTGTGTCAAAGAAGTCTGGAATACACCAAGTTGTCTTGGAAACAGTTGATAGGCTTTATTTCACAAAATAGATGGGATCAGAGCTTAATACATTTTTTAAACAATAAAGTTACTCAAAACTTCAAAAAGATAAATCTGTCCATGAACAGAAACCGGGTAAATGAATGCTAGTTTCAGCTGAAACAGTTGTCTTCTTATTGCTCAATTTGATGGCATAGTGAAAACAGAAAAAATAAATAAAATAATAGGATAATTTTAGGA